GGCAGGAAGGGGTAAAAGGTCAGTTACAGTTCAGGTTGCTGGTGACTGTTCTTTAAAAGGAAATGCAATCGTTTTGTACAAGCGTAACCGCTTGTGTAGATGGGGTAGTGGAGGCCGCCTTCGAAGAGTGCCCCTATTAGCAAGCATAGAAACAGTGCTGCTTGAGGCTCCCTGCCATTGGGAAGAAGGAATGGAAATAGCCCTCTTTAGACACATAATCAGCATGTGTTTAAAGGGACAGACGTTAAAGTCAGTCCTGTTTTGTATTTGTTTTTGGGCCACTGCTTACCAGCTAATAGGTAAAATGGTGAAGCAGGTGTAATGTACTTATATCCCACACAGGAACAGGATTACTGCATTTTATTTAAGTCTCAGCAGTAGCTTCACTCCAATTTTTGGTAAATCATTTAAACATATACCGGGGCTTACCAACCTGTGAAGTGGGTTTCCATAGTGTAATTAAATGTATAATCAAATGTTTGTAGATTGTTTTAGAACCTTGGGTGAGATTGTAAACCATTATGGAAGGCACTTAGTATTTGCACTCCACTGACATTTCATCACCCAGAGAACACTGACAGTCAACTCACATACCTGTTTTGGAAAGTCTGTGGATTAAAGCAAGCCCTAGTACAGATAACTGGTAATTGTAACAGTATTGGCTGTAAGGGAACCAACCAACCTGTCTTGAACTTATTTTCAGATGTTTACAGACAAATTAACTATTTGTAAATAGTATTTGTTTTTCTAACACTAGCTTATAAAGCATTATTTTGCAGTTAGTATAATGTAATGTTAAATCCTACTAACATGTAAAGTAGTCCCTTTTGTACAGAATTTAAGCTGTTTAAAATGGATGTTTCAAGTAAGTACATGGCAGAGATGCATCTTGATGTGTGTATAGGTTATTCAGAATAAAATGTATTTGAAATTTAGTTGACCAACTTATTTTGTCCTTTAGAGTCACTTTTTTTTAATGACTAGTGTTCAAATTGGAACATAGTTACTTACTGTAATAATAGGAGGCATGTCAGAGCAACTTTGATTTCTAGTGATACCTAGGTTAACAGACTGGCGTAAAACATACTATTAATCATTCCAACAGGGCTACCATGCTATTCCAGCTTTGCAAAAGTCTCTCTAACCCCTCCCCTAAGTTTAGCACTTAGGAATTAGCCAATCAAAGTGGATGTCAGTCACCTAGGAACTCTGTTAGGCTTCTTATCTGGAGTGACTCTAAAGTGAGCTCCATCAACCAAGTCTTGCTTCCTTCTTGGAAACAAAAAAGAGGTGGCTCAGAGACAAAAAAGGCACATGCCACGCAGCATCAGCTGAGAGTGCGGTGGAAAGTTACTGGCATGAAACTCTGACCTACTGACTTTCTGCAGATGTATAGGAAGTGGGAGGTGGGGGAATCCCCTGTGTGTGTTCCCAGTGCAAGAGAGGTAGCAGCTGCCAGGAAGAATGCAGGACAAGTAGATCTATCCTGAGTTCAGCAATGCAGGTCTGAGGAGCAGCGCTATGTTTTCAGTGTCCTAAGGCTTGAGGTCAATGCCCAGAAAGGGCATTTAAATGCTAGTGTTAGCATGGCAATTTAAGACATGCATTGTGCTAGTTCACAGAAGGGGATAGAGAGTGGCGGTGTTTAAGAAACTGAAGGTTGACCTTGCAGGGTTTCCATCAAGTCTTGTCAAGAGGAGGGCATAAAGGGCCAATGCAGGAACATGGGTTTGGCTTCCCAAACCCCTAGATCGCCAGGATCTATGGGGAAGGGCCCCCTAAATCTGGGGAGAGACTGTTTGTCCTTACTCCTGCTATGGCCCTTTCTTCTCCCATTCAGGAGCCAGGCTCCACAGAGGCACCCAGACTGTAAATTCCCTCTGACAATGGAATGGTCACTCCCACAATGAACTTACAAACTAGCATGTAGCTGGGGGGAGAGGCTAAAGTGTAAGTTTTTATTTCTGCCCATTACATTTTATATCTGAATATTTATCACTGTGCACTAATATACACACATTTTAATGTGCATTAAATTTGGGAAACCTAGTTCCAATGCAAACAAGGATTAAATTATTCCAGAGCACTTCTAAAGATTTTAGAAACAACTTCCACTATGTTAAACAATTACAATAATCTGCTTGGCATATAAATACAGCTTATTAATTTTCTTTAGAAAGTATATGTGAAATTTTAGATTTTCCCCCAAAAGCAGTAGTGTTCAAATGTGTGCACTCCTGGGAGAATCTGAAATGCAGGGGGTGGAGAGAAGAGAGGAGTTTGAACAGATGCTCCTGTGATTGAGCCCTCTTTTGCGTACCATTGTAGTACTTTTACATAAAGGAATATGTTTTAGCTAATAGTATAACTATTAAAGAAATAGATTGTACTTGTTCATGCTATAGCTTCATGTTCCAGGAAGTGGCTGTGGGCACATGAAATAGGAAAGAGAACCATTGCAGCACTACCAGAAAGATTTCAACTCTCATCGGGTCAGAAAAAAAGACTCAGTCCCTATAAGTTTCCTGATATCAAACCAGTGCTCTAGTTAAATGAAAAACAAATACAAGAAGGCGGAGAATTAAAAAAAAATATATTAAACCTTGAATAAATAGATGTGATAAGGTTTAAGTAAACAAAGACACAATATATTAAATACAAATTGAGACTTCTCTAAAAGATATAAAAGGCAAATATTCATACTTCATCTATAATGCAGCATTTGATAAAAACCTTGATTGTTACTTAGCCATGTTCTCCCATAACTTTATTTTTTTATATTACAAAAGGTACATTGTTATGGTCCTGTTTTTGTCCAAAATGTGACCTATTTTCCTCCTCCTTCATCTCTTTGCAGATCCTGTATCATGTGTTTTGGGATTTTTTTTTTTTATTTTTTATTAAAGAAAAATGTGCTAGCAACACAGCACAATTTCACAGTAACAGAAAGGCTGAGTGGGTGGAGGGGCAGGGGAAAATCCCTGAATAAACAGTTATTCCAAGGGATTTTTCCCAACAAGTTTTTTTTCTAAATGGCTTAAAATGCAACCCAAAATTTGACAATTCTTTTTAAAGAATCATTTTTTGTGCAACTCGATCATTGCATATGCTTTGAGAAATGTCTTCCAGGTTACTAGTACATCGAAGTGTCGTCATTCTTTTTCCTTGAATTATGATGTTTGACTAAACTCATTGCGTTCCATCAAAAATACAAAACTATGTAGATTATATTTCATCCTTTCTTCTAATGTGAGGCACATACAAATATGTTTTTGGCAAAGCACTCAATAAAAACCCTACACAAGGAAAACGTAGTGAAGATAAGTGGTAATTAAAACTTGCAGGCTTTATTTGGAGTCCTCGATTTGTATATCATCCTCTTCAACCATCCTGCTTCTACCAGAGTCACTATCCACTCCGAGCCTAACTCGCTCTCCACGTGGCCCGAGCTCTTGCAGCTGTTTTCTCTGTGTGGTTTCTAGATCTTCTAGCCGCTTACG